AGACCCGGACTCCCAGCTTGCTAGGCACAACTCTTTGTGAACCTCAACCAACAGTTAAACCTCGGGTTTAGGGTTTAGGGTTTAGGGTCTAGGGTTTAGGGTTTAGGGCTTAGGGTTTGGAGTTTGGGGTTTAGAATTTAGGGCTTCGGGTTTAGAGTTTAGGGTTTGAAGTTTAGGGCTTCGGGTTTAGAGGTTAGAGTTTAGAATCGAGGGCTTCGGGCTTACAATAAAAAGTTTAGGGTTGCGCGTGTAGGGCATTGGGTTTAGGGTTAAGAGGGTTTTGGAGTTGAAACCCTAAACCCTAAACCCAAACCCTAAGACCTAAACCCTAAATCCCTTCCTGGTGTAGGGCTGCTTTAAAGGGGTTCCCGGTGTTTGGGTCTTAGGGTAGGAGCGGGGCCTTAAGCTTTAGGGTTCAAGTTCAGGTTCAGGGTCTAACGACCGGCCTTTGTCTTGTCTAAAGTTCGAAGTATGAGCCCCTAATATGGACCCTTAGGCCTTTCTAGGGGCCCTTAAGGGTACATCTAGGGTATATAGTAGGTGTATAAGGATCCCAGGGTTAAGGGCCCATACCAGGGGCCCATGGCTTCCACTTTAGATCTTGGGTATTTTGGCCCCCAGGCCCAGCAACTCAAGCCTCGAAGCAGTCAATCTCCCTACGGGTTTGGGGCTCTTCGGTCTTCGGGTTCAGTGTTGAAGCTTGAGAGCTGGAAGCCCTAGGCTAGACGTCGATTTTTCGGGATAATCGGGAAAATTCCTGAGCGCCTCTCATTTGAAGGTTTTGGGAGCTTCTTGGGGTTTATGGTTTATGCATCTGAAGCTTTGAGAGCTCTTGCAAGGCAGGCTTGGTGACCGTGGTGCAGGGCAGCTTGATCGGCTTCCTTCTTAGCTTGTTTGTGGAAGGGGGCCAGCTTGAAATTGAGTTGGGGTTCTGGGGTGTCACCTTTTGCTGCCTATTTTTCCTACCTGTTTACCTACCTTGTACTCCTCCTTCTCCTCCACGTCTTCCTACTTCATACTCGTACTGCGGCTGCTTCTACGTGGTTACACCACAAGAAGGACTCGGGACCTGCTGCAGATACACATATGCTTTGGTGGCTGTAGAGAAAGATGTTGGATATGCCGGTTGCGGCAACCAGGATATGGGAGGTTGCTAAGCGCAGTTCTCAGATGTGACTTTTCTATACCCAGAGACTCCAATATCCCTTAATTAAGCTATATACCTTAAATCATATTAAGGATCCTACTATAATTTAAGGAATATTCGTTGATTAAGGGATATTGGAGTCTCTGAGTACAAGGGTCATTCTCAGGATCCTTCGTTGCAAGAGTGACAGGCTCCTATGGGAATCAAACAGGGCCTACTTGGAGGGTCGGGGGACTTAGCAAGTAGTTATTTTATAGACTTATTAGTATCAGAACCCCAATTAGAGTCCCTTTTAGGCTACTTATAAGTCTACTTATTTATTACCTATTTACTAAGTCCCCCGACCCTCCAAGTAGGTTACTGGCCAACACAGCGACGGCAGTGGCGACGACTCTGCGAAGGGACCTAATAGCTCGTTGCACTACGCACTTGTGACAGGGACCCAAGGTACCATGGGAGAGAAAGCATTTGCTTGCCACACATCGCTAGCAGGGTAACTATCATTTGAAAGTTCCTTTTCAAAAGACAGGAACCCTATCCAACACTTCTTCAAACAGAACACCAACCCTTACGGTAGAACACGTTTCAGTCCTCCGGGATGTGATTTAAGGCGAGATGCCCTAAGCCTGTTGCCGTCGCGAAGCCCTCAACAAGCCTCAAAAACCTTATTCTCTTACGGCCCTTTACAAGCTTACAAAACCCACAGCCAACACATCCCACCCTAGCCCTAAACCCTAAGTCTCCTCACCAAGGCTCGATCCTGTCGAACTTGCTTTTGGTCTTAGGCCAGCAGCAAGGGTGTGTTGTAAGGGCCCTTAATAGAACCCCTAAACCGTTAGAGTGGGTGTCTCTAAGGGCGCCTGGTATGACTTTAGGGTATTGGGGTCAGGGCGGTTGTATTGGACATTTTGGCAGATCTAGATTGTTGAGACGAGACTGAACACTGAACCCTAACCCTAAACCCCTAAACCCCTAAACCCTAAACCCTAGGGCGTCGGCTTCGTAGGGGTTTCTTGACACAGCACGGTCTTCGGGTTGCTTTCGGGAGCCCTCCCAAAACCCATTCCTGTTTTGTCGCAGTGCCAAATCAAGACCCGTTTTGTTGCTCCAAATTATGTCAGCTTCGCTTCCGACACAGGAACCCTGGACACGTCCGCTCAGTGAGATTGAAACACCTCGAGACCATGCAGCCCGAAATGGAATTAAGCCTTCAACCCGAAGGCTGAACCCCTAAACCCTAAAATCTAGGGTTTAGGGTTTAGGGTTTGGGGCCTAAACCCTTAAACCCTAAACCGCTGATCCCAAAGCCCGAAAATTCCAAGCGCCACACCCCAGAGCGTCGCAGGTCCTGAGCCATTTGCTTAGGGTGCCAAGTCCCGGCTCCCGCGATAGAGGAAGAAACACCCCTTAAGCCCGAAAGCCGGATTTCCCAAAGCCTTCACGGTTTAGGATTTAGGGTTTAGGGGTTTAGGGTTTAGGGTTTAGGGTTGTTTAGGGTTCCTTAACTTACAGCATGAAAACCCTGAAGCACCAAGCCCTGAATATCCTAAACCCCCATGAAGGAGCCCTGTGCTAGACCCTCACAGGAACCCTACTACAGTACTTTTCGGAGCCCCAAGCCCCTAAAGCCTCAACCCTAAATGCCCTAAATCCTTTCCCCTCACCCCCCTTCAAAAGCCCCAAGCCTTTAAACCCTGAGCCCTGAATGCCCTAAATCCTAAACCCCTCACCCCCTTCCCAAAAAAAACGGCAAAACCCTAAACCCTAAACCCAAAAACAAAACCGCAGAAGCAGGAATGGCCTTCCTTGCAGCCGGCTTTGTCCAGAAGGCCTGCACCTCACTCAAAGGGCTCCAAGAGGAGGTTAGACTCTTCGAGGTTTAGGGCTTATAGTAGGGCTTAGGGTTTAGGGTTTAAGGTTTAGGGGTTTAGGGTTTAGGGGTTTAGGGGTTTAGGGTTTATAGGGTTTAGGTTTAAGGCTTATAGGGGTTACGGGTTAGGGCCTATAGGGGCTAGAGGGTCAGGGAGCTCCTTCCCGGGACCTATTTAGGGCCGGGGTTTGGGATGTTTTCATATTCGGGTCCGTTCTCTGCTGGAACTCTTGTGCCTCTTCTCCCCAACTGCTGGCAACTTTGCGAAGATGGCCAAACTGTTGATGTAATTATTGATCTTATTGCGATGCTCTGAGCTGCTACGATAGACTCTGTGCTCTTCTTTACCGCTATGACTCTGTGACAACTGCTGGTGTTTTCCGGCTTTCTGGCGACCCTATGCCCATAAATCCTGAAGTCCTAAACCCCAAGCCCCCAAACCCTGAATCCCTACACTGCTTCCCGGAGCCTCCTGGACGGATCACCTTGCAACCCAAAGCCTAAGCGGGTTTGGGGTTTAAATTTAACTGGAACGAGTCAGCTGTCCTGGCGTGACGTTGCAAGCCAGTTGCAAAAAGGGCTTAGGTTTCAGACTTCAGACCCTATGAAAAGCCCTACCTGTAGCCAAAAAACCTACCTTTTTAGGGTTCCTTGTTAGGGTTTCTTTCTATAAGTCCTTAAAAAGGTAGGTTTTTTGGGGCCACAGGTAAG